AAAAAAACTAGAATTATTACTCCCGTGAACTTGTAATAAACATCCGTCGATTTTGACTATATTCCGAAACTGCCTCGTTGTCAGAAATATCACCAAAAAGTAAATTTCTTTCTCCTTTGCACTTGTGAAAAATAAGTTTGACTATATTCCGGTCCGACGCTCCTTTCTTATCAGAAATGTCACTAAAAAGGAGAGGTTTTGCCTTGGGACCTTTTTTCCGCAGCAGTCCCAGCTAGGTGTGGCTCAGCTGAGACGCGCATGGTCAGTGTCGACGGTTGATTAAATACTTTTCAAGCCAGATGAACGTCCACGACAAGTATTTAGCAAAAATTGACCAAATTGGTCAGACATTACGTAAGAATTTGGCGGGAGGTGACTAAGCGCACGTGGACGAGTTTACTCCGTATAACATCTCTAGAGCGTGATATAGGGTCACTTTATTCGGTTTTAGGGGTGTTTTAGGAGGAAATGACTGTTTTTTTTTCTCGGTATGTATGTCAAATAATACACTGTCACCCTCTTGCGATATATGCCATGAAGTTATGTCTCACACGTAGCTCGGACCACATGCCTTTAAAATTGTAAGATATTATATACAAAAGTTTGGGCAAATGTTCACCTTTTGACTGGGTCTCAAATTCTGGAACTTGTAGGTTTCACTGGGTTGTAAACATCCTACGTAATATCCAACTGCCAGAGAGAAATCTGGAAATAAATAGTAATAATAATTATATATTTAAGTATGGATTCAAAATTACGTGCACATACATGTATGCGCATTGGTTAAATATGAAGAGTAAAAATGCTGTCCATTTTAAACTTTGACCAAGAATCCAATGCACTATTATTGAATAGCGTTTTGAATTACGACCGCGAGACATGTTCTCCGGCCTATTACCGATTCATGTTAAATTGCCCATTTCCAATAATGGTATATAGTTTCCCAAATACAATATTATGACTTATTTTATGAAGATGCTAAAAAGAAGAAACCAGCTAGACAGAAAATACAATGGAAGAAAAATCTCAGCGAAAATTTTAAAAACTTATTCATAAGATAAAATAATACTCTATGAAGACTATGGGTACTTTTAGTCAGGGAGTAGCCGGATCTGATGGCTGTTGCAGAGACGAGAGGGGAACCCCCGTCATACCAAAGTAGACGACGACCTATATTCTCCGGAAATGGTTCTTCTAAAACGGAAAGAAGTCTTACAATCATAAGAAGAATACATTAAAGAGAAAAGATACCAGTAAAGGATCCTCAGCATTTTGATTCTAATGAGACCTAACGTATTTTTTATCAAGATGAATGACGTCTTCACTATTATACCAAAAAAAATCACAAAAAAAAACGATATATACGATTCACTCAAATTGAATATTCATCCCAATTCATATATACAATATTTCAGTATTATGACACGTGATTCCCGATTTTTCGTAATTTACTTATTAAAGCTACACTGAAGATGGTTGCACATCTGCCCTGCCTGCCTACTGTTAAAAATCCTATTTGCTTTGTTTTCGTGTTGCTCCTAGTTTGTGTCATGTAACAACTGAAATAGCTTCTTTGATATAACTCACTCTGTTGTCCAGGCATTATAAAGTTGATGTAGGGTGGGACATTGGAGAACAGGCTGGGTGTGAGTGCCGGCAGTAACGGCCCCGATACCTTGTCTGGAATCAGAATATATAAAATATTTATACAACTGATGAGATTATTAATTGAAGCATACGCAACATGACTAAAATGCTCAGTTTACTAATGCCAGTTTTCTGGCAAAAAATATTATTTGAAGGGTATTGGATATACTACACGTATACTACATGATTGAAACCAAATATGTTGACAAAATCCAAAAATGACCTCTTTGAATTCAGTTAAACGTTTTCAGGAGTTAACCTTTAACAGACTTCAATCTGACTTCTGCACAGATACCTCCATTAGTTGATGACAGTGTGACACAGTCAATGAAAGTTTGTGAACTGTCACTTAAACCATATGGTCCTTTTGGAGTTCGTTTTGGACAATGTACATCTGCATGGGTCGAGTCTGAGCAATTGACTGCAAGAGAAATTGTTTAAACTTATTTTCAATAAAAAAGAAGAAAATGACATAATTGTACAAATGCTGTCCCTATCAGAGGAATACATGCTGTATGGAATCGACATGGGTAGTTAAATTTCACATACGGTTGTTATAACTCACCTTTGTTAGTGTTTTGTCAAAATACAGTAACAAAATGTCCTGATTTCAAGAGGTATATTTCAAGATAGAAATACAGAGATGAGATACCTGTATTAAAGCTGTGGTCGCAGAAAATCATAAATATCAGCACAGCCGATGTTGCCCACCCCTTCTTCCCAGCCATGCTTTTTGCTCTCGGTGCATTGGCCTAATTCATCTGACCTGAGGCTTAATATTGTACGATCATTGGTGCTATATACAGGTGTGAACATTATTAACGACATTTCAAGCACTGTAGGTTGCTTGGGTAGTCAATACTATGTGGACAACAATCCGCTCGATGTGTATTTAAGTGGTCTCGTATAACCGCAGAATGGTGGGAAGAGTTAGAGCCCATTCCAAATGATACTTTCGTTTTACGTAGATCAATCCAATGCAATCACTATTAACACGCCTCCTCCTGGCGTTGATTAGAACACCAAAAAGTTGGTGATTATAAACGAGTACGTTGGAAATAAAAGGAGGCGTGTTGATCTTCTAATCTGATTGTATTCAGCGAGGGTCTCCGCGGACTTGGATCGATATACATGACGTGGAGCGATTCTTTCATTTGGAATGGAACCTGACGAAATGTGGTAAGTAGTTTTCCCTGGTTTGTTTTACAGCCAGCCACCCGTGCAGTTTGGGTCAGCATCTTCTTGTTGTTCGTATAATTCTATTCGGTTGAGTGAAGTGAATTAGAATGGAATTATTTTCTTCTAGGTAGAAGCACTGTATATATTGTGCTAGTTGTTTTATTTGGAAGAGTAGTGGGTAAGTTACGACAGGTGTTCATTCGACCAGTTAGTGTAGTCCAGTCGACACGTAATTTTTTTTTTTTTTTTTTTTTTTTTATGTTGAATCCGGGAGTAGTGTGACTATACTATCTAGAGATAACACATTCTTAAAACTTTGAAAATTTAAACTCAATATAATATTGTAACTTATATCTAAAAATGAAAACAATTCAGGCTTGCAACTTTTTCCTCGCACTATAGTCCCACCCCCTACGAGATTCAATTTTTGCTTCATTTTTTTTCCGAAGTTCAAAAATCGTGTCCGTATTTCATTTGGTTACATCCCTATACATCCCCGCACCGATACTCCCCCGCACTGATACTCCTGCGTACCGATACTCTGCAAAAACACTACTCCCTCACGACTTTGTTCGTTATAGATGTGAGGGCGTGCGCCGTACTCAACATGCAAAGGGCACTTTCTCCTTCATTGCTTGCGACGTGCATCTTGGACCAGGCAAGTCTCATTGCAAACTCCTTGCAAACGCCTTGCGAAGGGAGCAAGTCACGCTTGCTGCCTCGCTGTTCGCAGATTATTCGTAGAATCTATTGGAAATGTGCAATATCCTTCGTACGTGCTTACATACGTGCGAACTCGAAATTTCACATAAAGGACTTGCGTGGCACATGAGATTCTCCGCAAAATTTGAACTCTTGAAAACGGGTCGTAAGAGCCAGTGCGGCCGGTTGTGACCGAGGCTAATGTGTTGTCGTCCAAGATTTTTGAGGAACTTTGCGGCTTCTTTTGTACAATACCGATGTTCAATTTTAAGCAATTAAGATGTGTATGCACCGCGCAATAGCATAAAAACAACATNGTCTTTCGTTTTTGTTTTTTGGTTATTTTCGTTTAAATTTGTTAAGTATATATGATTGTTTTTATATTATAATAACATTTGTTTTTTGGTGCGGTGATTGTTTATATTTTTCAATTTTGGTTAGAACGCAAGTGTGTGTGTGTGTGTGTGTGTGTGTGTGTGTGTGTGTTAGTGCGTGTAAGCCAACAGTGTACCATAGAAGTGCTACTACTTCTATGAGTGTACATGCATATGTATGTTCTGTTTTATGTTAGTATGTTTACGATTATGTATTTATGTATGAATACCTGCGTGAATATTGATATTTCTATGTTGTTTCACTTTCAGCATTTGCTAGTGCAAGTTGGGGTACATTAATGTTCATAAATATATTAAATATATTAATAAATATAGTTTTGCTCAGTAAGAGTTGGTTTCCCCGTGTTTCCCATTCACAATAAGCAGAAATCCAGATAAAACACCTTTAATAAATCTTAATTATGCAATAAAAGTGACTTTTATTCCCAAGAACACTGTCAACGTAGCACTTATGACGTGATTAGTATAAATCATGCTTCAACATGTTTGAACTGGCGGCACAGCGACTCCAGAATGTCCCTCCCTGCTTCTTGGTTGTCATGGTAACGGCTGATCCACTGGTGAAGAAGTAGGTTGTAGTACCTAGGAGACATGATTTTACGACATTAACGAGAGTCGAAAATAAATAAATAAATAAATAAATATAAAAAGCAATCCGTTGTTGGAAGGCCTGTAGCCAGCAATTTAAGGTTGAGGGAGGAGATCTTTTACTGAAAAAGTGGACCTTTTACCAACAACCTACGTGTACCTAGATAAGTGTTTACCCAGAGGGGACCTAAACCCTAGAAAAGGGGCGGTTCATTCGACCCCCCCTCCCCCCGAACACCCCTGGCTACGGGTCTGGTATTCCTACAATGATATTTCATTGAATACTTGTGTCTCTCAACTTTTTACGGAATTAATGCATTACTTTTAGAATTATTTTGATGTAAGATTATATATAAAGTAAATCCGTTTGAGAAAATCGTTTTAATAAAAAAGTACATATTATTGACGTTGAAGACTAATCTATTTTTAAAATTCTGATTTAAAAAGTCGTAGAGTAAAACTTTCTTGACCTTGGTTGTTCAAAGAATCGTAGGTATTTCCCGGTATCTGGACCAGGAAATATTCTTTCAAACTGTCCTTTTCTGTTGTCTTCGTCTATTGTCTCTATCAGCATCCGCACGTCATCTGCTGCCAGGTTGTCTAATATGGTTTGTTGTTGGGTCTTGTTAATATAAAGAAAAACCTTTCTTTCAAAAGTTTAAAAAGCACAGATGAGTGCATAGTTTTTTTTACCCAAATTGTCGATCAACTATCGAGACATAGTGATATAAAGTTGTCCCTTTTCAGGGTACGGCGAGAATTTGGGAAGGTGGACAAGAGCAACCGTATTAGGAGTTCAAAAGGGTTACAGTGATGTATGTCAATTATGTCCATTATAATTACAATAATAATAGTTGTTATAGTTTATAACACTTTTTTATAAACGAGTATCATCGCCGAATTAAAATCTCAATTTCTTCACTCAAACCCCCCCCCCCCCCAAACTCTACCCACCTCACTAAGATTTTGCGTGTAGTATTCATGCTTCTCCTGGGCCTCCGCGGACAGTGTCTGCACCCACAGCCTGTGGTCCATAGTAAGGTGTTTAGGAACGCTTGACTTTCTGAAATGTAACCACAAACATGTGCTTCAAATGTGCGTTTGTGCAAAATATCAACCGGTAAAGTGCAATTGTTTCTTGTAGATGTAACATGAATAGGCAAAGGAAACGATTGGCTGTTAGAGGGTAGAACTTTACAAATTAAACATGACTTTTTAGATTTTAAATCGGGTGTTTACAAAGATTTATGTACGAGCTAGAACGACAAGTCTACCTTTCCGGTCCCAACTGCGATCGAAACTCCCTGTTCCCAACAAAGGGAATCTGTATACCAACAAGGTTCAGCACATCCTTTAACAACGGTACGTGTACCTTGGTGAAGTTACGACCCAAGCTGAAAGTTCATATGAAAGCAATTGGCTGCCGTCTGAGGCCTAGCAGAGAATGAACAATGCCAACATCAAGCACTGGAATTGTTTAATGGTTATTTCATAATACCAGGCGCTAAAAAATTTATCAATAAAAACATTCAACTTCCAGTGGCGCCCCCTTTAATTGACAAGCCAGTCACTTCGCCAATAGTAAAAAAAAATCCCTGTCAGCATCTGATTAATTGAAGTATCGCATTGCGTCATCACACTTACTCATGCGTATGATAAATCTAATCTAACGAAGAACATGCTTTAAATATGCTAAATATTATGATCAATAGGTGTAAGATATTCTTTAGGAGATGCTTATTCTGTAAAAAGAAGAAAAGAGATAATATTGAAACAGAAATCGTTAATGAATTTTTTCTCTTTTTTTTTTTTTTTTTTTTTTTGCCCAAAAATGTCCAAAGATAAAAATCATAACACGTGGATACATTTTTAGAATGTTCACTTACTTAGGATAAACGTTGACCTCTAGCACCCACGGTTTAAGGTTAGCGTCCAGAAGAACGTCGAAGCCAAAGAGTTCATGGACGCTGTATCTGCTCTTTAGGTAGGACTTGACTGCTTTGCGCATGTCAGCCTCCCCGCTACAATATGTGATCAAACCATATCAATTATATACAGATATCTGACATTAAGTCTATACCAGTGTAATAGCCAAAGGCAATCACAAGTTCGAAATTCAGGCTTAATAGAACATTGACTTGCGGTGGGAACCATATCGGTTTGCAAAATGTTTGTATATACAAACCATCCATGGCTGCGCCACAGTGAAAAAACGCTTAAGGTAGATCGGTCGTTACATGTTCCAACGTTCGAATTTTTTTAATTTTTCTTTTGTTTGAAGAGACACCCAAGTACATTAAAAATTTGCAAAAAAAATTGGGGGTCACCGACCAAATAAGAGAACTAATCCAAAATATGATACAACCTGCATATCGCACTAGTCCCCATTCAAATCAATGGGAAAATGGGTGTTTTTTCACTAAAGCATTATTTTTTATGACTTTCTGACGTTCGAATTTTTTAAAAAATTTTTTTGTGTAAAGAGGCTTCCAAGTACATTTAAATTTTACTAAAAAAATTGGGGGTCACCGACCAAATAAGAGAACTACGCCAAGTTGAAGTGCATTACACCCCGCGTGACGCACTAGTCCCCATTCAAATCAATGGGAAAATGGGTGTTTTTTCACTAAAGCATTTTTTATGACTTTCTGACGTTCGAATTTTTTAAAAAATGTTCTTGTGTAAAGAGGCCTACAAGTACATATATATTTTACCAAAAAAATTGGGGGTCACCGACCAAATGAAAGAACTACGCCAAGTTGAAGTGCGTTACACCCTGCGTGACGCACTAGTCGGAAGTCCCCATTCAAATCAATGGGAAAATGGGTGTTTTTCACGAAATCGTTTTTTTTTGTGTGTGTGTGTGTGTGTGTAGAGAGACATATAAGTGCATTTAAAACTTTTATTATGTTTAACAGCTGAAGTGAGTATACTCGGCTATTTTCAGATTTATCATACTGATGAGGTGTAGGCCTAAGCCATTTACTTTACAAAAAAATATTGAAGAGAGTAATAAGGGAAATACTCATGTGTATGAAAATAGTTTATTGTCTTTGTTTTATATTAATGAATATAACATGAACGTGACATCGTAAACACTGCGTTGTCAAGTAAAATGAAGCGTCTGATACAAAGTATCAAATGCGGCATTCACGTGCTTGCTTGCGGTGCGTTCAGTACACTTTGTTTACACTGACAAGTCAAGGTCAGAAGTGCACAATTTTTCTGTATAATATAACGCAGTTTTAATTTTGACTAGTGAATTTTCTTCAAGCTGTATGGCCATTTTCTGAACATTTGTATAAGCTACGAAATATTTCTCAGTCCAAATTTCTCTAAGTCCAAATGAATGGCGTTACGACGCACTTCCGGTTTTCGTCGAAATCTAAGCTACAGTATGCAGCACATTCAAGGCGTTCTACCTCAAAATTTACGCAGACGCTTTGATTGGAATTTACAACACTTATTCTTTACATGATATAGCACCTACGTGCATAATTTGTGAGCTTTAGCTGTCATACATTTTCTAGTGGCAATTCAAATTGGAAAAGGAGCTACAGTATTCCGACGATTTCTTGAAGGGCAAGTCTATGAACGTGCTACAGTTGTCGTACATGGAATCATAGTCGACAAACGTTGTCGAAAATCTGTATCGATCATACAGAGTTACATACAAGTTGATTATGTGTGTTTATCTTATAGATAATTGTTTTATTTCCTCAAATTGATAAAACAGACTGAAGTGTCGTTAGAGACGATTGACGATGCGCTGAAATTGCGCAAATCGTCAAATTACGTAACGACCGATCTACCTTAAAATACCTCTCCAATTCCAAAACTGCATCTGGCATACAGTGTATATACCTTCTTGATGTACCCGTTTCGACTAGCTGAAAAGGTCAACATTTTAGACCAGATGCTTACCTTATGATTGTCTTAATAATTATATCTTTTATGTCCTCCCAAACTGGATTTCGATCTATTCCGTGGTGCCGTTTTAAATATGCCCAAAACGTAGAATGGGACCTACAATGGAATTCATGGAGATTATGCTATGTCATGCCATGCTACGTCATGTTGCGGCAAGTCATGCTGCGTCATGTTGTGATGCCATGCTATGCTATTCCATGTTATGCTATGTCATGCTATGCTATGTTATGCTATGTCATGTTATGTTATATGTCATGTTATGCTATGGCATGTATGTCATGTTAAGCTATGCCATTTTATGTGATGTTATGTGATGTGATTTTATAACATTTCATGTGATGTGAGATGTTGGTAAGATAGCCACCCTTCGACTATAAAGGGGGCCCTTTTCGAATTATGTAAATTTTAAACATGTATTTAGAATAACATTTAAGTTCATTTTACCACTAACCGATGCAACATGGCCCGTTTATTTGAACATTGTCACGAAACTACTAGTAATTATAATGGAGGCATTGCTATTTCATTTGGAGTTATTCTTACCAAGTGTGTCCTTCTTGCATCTCACGATCGATGCGGAAACCCTTCTTCTCACTATTGACAAGAAAGTTTGTTAAATGTGCGAATTTATTGTAGACGTTCTTCATCGAAAACCTGAAATTGAAAAAGATTAACGTGATTGTGGAGATAATCTTTTGCCAAAACTTCAATGTACAATACTGAAGATGATGATCAAAAACGCAACCGCCTTTAGACACCACGAGTTTTATGAGATGCTATAGATTCGGTAAAATGCTGATTATCGAGAACTGTTTTCAGCGAACTAAGAAAATCGGGTTAACACATGATCGACACGCTGGTTAATTAATTTTCATTTATTTCCAATGTGTGTGTGTGTGTGCTACCATTGGTTTCTTGGACATTATGTTGTAAAATATGGTGTGCGAAAATGGCTCTCCTTTTGTTGACAATCTCTCTTAGCTGCAGTTTCGACTACTAAAGAATTAAATTTTGTCGACAGTCGCTATTAGCTGTAGTTTCAACTACGAAACAATTAATTTGTGCAAAAATTGACTCACTTTTCGGAGGCAAATCTAACTAGACCTTCTGGATATATGTATATCCGTAATGGGTCCACCGAAGTCACTTCCACGTAAATCCGCAAATCGAACTTGTACCCTTTGATGAGGAAAGGGTTGGGGACATACCTTGTGAAATTTAAAAAAAAAAGTGCAATGCAACAAATTATTATCATAGTTTCACTAAACTTCAATACAGGGCACGAGCGTATTTGGGAACGAAGGAAAAACGTACTCGAGCAACAGCGATGACATAGATTTTAAAACGGATTACAGTTTACATTTGATGTTATATTTGGTCTGGACTGATAGTGAGAATAAGAATAATAAATAAATGATATCTTCAGATACCCATTCGTCATTAAAAACAGTAATCAATGCAGTTCAACAACACGCATGCAGGCACCATTGCCTAAATTGATCTACTGTTTATAGCAAACTACTTGCCTTTGTACGACAGCATTTCTGTACTTGTTGGCGTCTTGCCACTTTTGTGTCATATATATTCCCCTTGCTTTACTGTAACAATACTTAGAGCAAGGGGTGAAAATAAACATTGCGTTACATAATGGCTGATCAGCATGTTTCAGGCAAGAAAACAATGAATCAATATTTACTGATTCAAATTCCTCTTTTACAAAGGTCATGACTTAAAAATTGCATCGTCGAACAATTTCATGTGCTAATTAATAATGAACATAGATTTATACGAAAGATATCCTGAAACTATAATTTCAAAATCCATACAACGTTTGTTAAAATTAAAAAGAAAGAAACATTATTCAAGGAAGATGACTGAAATGATACTGATTTCAATTGCATACTTAGCAGGTAACCTTCTCGTGGTCAGTTGATTTTGAAAAAAAGTTACAGTAAATCACTGTTAATGGATAAAAACAGGCACCGATTTCATCATTTACCGGTTTGACAATCCAGACATGGTCTTCAGTGCTGCTGTGTGAAAACTGTCGAAGCTGGTTGACGTCAGCAGGAAGAAGGAAGGTAGTTGGATAAAAGTCATATTCTTTTCCCCCGTGAATCAGCGCCATGGTTTGTAAATTCCGCGTCAGTCTGTCTTTGCATCCGATTGTCCAACTGTCCGGAATGAATCTGAACTGAAGGTAGATATACATCAATCGTAAAACATTCAATTCATTTACTTTATTCATTCAACCAAGAGTCAATATATCATGAAAATGAAATGGCTGTATTTGATCGGCAGTTACTGTCCACTTTTCCTGTCCTTATTCAAAGACGCTTGGGGGTTGTTATCAATCGAACTAAGCCTAAATCCCCTTTTTGCTGAAATCATACGTTTTTTTTTTTTTTTTTCAGAGATATTTTGATTGCCAATTTCAATTGCAACAGGAAGATTGTATTCCCTAAATATTATTCATTTACCTTCTGTTGCGGAGAAACGTTTAGATATTTTTCCATTTCCTCAGATTTGATTGGTTCATGAAAATACAACGTCCATTTCTGAACATCTGGAACCATAAAACATACTTTATATACTACGAAACACTTTCCTTACTTAATAATTACAGACAGATACAGAAACAATCACAGAAAATTATACAAGGTCAATTACGGACAGTTACAAGGGCAGTTACAGGGACAATTACAGAAAGTTACAGGAACAATGATAGTTACAGGAACAATGATAGACAGTTACAGCAACAATGATAGACAGTTACAGCAACAGTGATGGGCGGCTATAGAACAAATACAGAAACAGGAACAGAATTCACATTCCGAAATCATTTATTTCTTAAATTTTCTTCAAAACAATACGAGAGATTTTGAAAGATGAGAATTTTTAATGTTATATGACATGGATGTTAATTCCATAAACGTGACTCACCTTTGGTAGGTGCGAAACCAACTGTGAGAGCCAGCTCTAAAGCAATATCGTTCCTCTTGCCATAAACCTTCAACAGGTCTCTTATCCGAGGATTCAACATATCAACTGAAGTCAAGGAATGTGATAGATGAAAAGAAGATATGGAACGAACTTTGGTATGTTTTCCACAGGAGAAAAGACAGCAGCTACGGGTTTTATCTGTGAAATTTCTAATCTGTTTTAATGTTGCCCTTTCTTTCCTTTCCCGATCACACAGAATCAACCCGTTTTACCCCCCACAGTTACCAAAGAGCGCATTCAGAACAGTGGACTAACAGACCCGCGGATCAAATATGACCGACCCACTTGAATGCTTGTTGCAATAATCCCCGTAATCTATTCAGTGTCTAATTGGGAATTTAAAAACAAGCTTTTTTTAGTGGTTCTCCATATTTGATCCGCAAACTAGTAAGTTCACTGTTGTGAATATGATCAAATTCTTTTCGATGGGAATTTTACGCATGTCAGTAAACAACCTCGACCAGCTCACCATCTTCATCCGGCAGCACGAAGTTGATGGTCGGTGGCACGTTTGAGAACAGGCTGGGAGTCAGGGCTGGATGCACATGGTGTTTTTCTTCATCTGGATATTCCTCTGGGTGAAATGGAACCCTTGTCTTGGGACAACTCTCTGACGGTGTTTCCAGAGGTCCTGTGTCGCTTGAAGTAGGGTTAGTGATTGCTTGTTTCTGACAAACATCAATGTCCAGCCGATTTGGTTGGTGACAATTGTCCGCTAGGAACAAATTATAAATTTAATGCTTAGCCTTAACAACATGAAGGCGCAGCTTCAAGCCCTGGGTCACTTCTATTGCTCTAGGCACTATGTCACTTCCCAAGACGATAAAACTCTCCCTTTTTTCGAAAAAATAACTCTCTATTTAAAACTGAGTGCACTAGCTTATCTTTTCTAAACAAAGTGGGCAGGAATGCCCTGTGTCACAATTGTCAATTTTACGCATAAGGCTTTTTCCCAAAAAACAATATTTTGTATGAATAATAATTAGTGTTCACACTTCATTATTTTTTCCGATATGGAAAACAAAATGTCTTGATACAGACAGCGAGGAGAAATCATATTATCATCATCAATTATATTATTGAAAGTAAAGCGAGGTTTACTCACTTAACTCGATCTTGTCTGCCGAAATCTGACGAAGAAATCCTATCGTACAAACAAGCAGAATCGTTCTGAAGGCCATCTTAAACTGATAAAGCAGTGTCTTGGTGTACATGTACATGTAGTAGTCTTTTTAATACTCTGCAACTGGGTGGATGTATGTTCATGGAAAAATATGCAGTGTTTTAAAAGAATACCAGCAGTTTACAAATTGGCCATAGACGTTTATACAGAATTCATCATATGCAACACCATATGCTTCTGTATATCAGGCAATAATGTATTCAGGTTTTAAGGCATTATTCATATCTTGTCATTTCAGGTGAAAGACAAGTCCTTCTTTAAATGCAAACATTCTGTTATCAAGTTTCCTTCTATAATGCAAACTGTTTGTAGCTATAAGTTTGGGAACCCAGTTCAAACATGCTGAAGCATAGATTGGGTTCCCATACCTATATCGATGTACAGCATCGCTCCATCTTCTAGCGGTTTCTCGCTATATTGCTTTCAGCTTCAGCTGCTTAGATGTCTGGCACGCCTACTGAAGCTGCTAAACGATAATTAATTTCCCCCTAGCAGCTTCAGTAAGCGTGACAGACATCTAAGCCGCTTTAGTTGAAAGCAATTTAGCGAGAATCCCCTCGGTGATAGATCGATCCACATTTAGTACGATGGGGTCTGGGGATGGTCCAATATTTAACACAACTGTAATAACTGCAACGGTGACATTGCTCCTGGGAACAAAATAACAATGTAATCGCAAATAAAAATCTGAAGTTTTCCCCCCCACTGTGAGAAGTATTGTATAATGATGTGACCTCCAAGTAACTGACGTTAGCCTTGATGTAGAAACTATAAAGTTGTGGATTTAGAATTGTATTGTTGCATTGACGTTAATAAAAGTAAGCTGTTGCTACACTGCTACATCAAAGGCACACCGTGGGCTGAGAAACTGATCCGTGTTCAAGCTTAGTATTAAAACTTTAAGTAACAATCATCACAATTTATTTTTACTGTAACACTAGCACTTTCTCGATACATGACTGCTTTGAGCTACGCCATAGAATCGTTCATTTTAGTCCTTAAATGACCGCCTGTAAGTGTTTGGTACTCCTTACCGGATATAATTATCAAAGCAACTTAAAGGCACTGACATAAGAAAAATATTTATTTTGCTTTATCAAAAGTAAAAAAAAAACGAATATACAACTGTGAAATATCAGGATGTTGAAACTATCACATTGCTTTACTTCAAATTAGCTGTCCCCGTTTTAACTCAAGCTCCCTCATAGCGTGGTACCATGGTTCTTATGTTGCTAGAACGATGCTGCAGTACCCTTTACCAAGGCGATTGATTTTCACAAGATATTCACAGGTATATCTTTACATAAATAGACAGCCATTCTGGCTTTTTTAAATTTTGCCTGCAATATCTGCCAGAGGGTAATGCAGTAGTACAGTTGACTCGTTTTGCACTTTTGGAATGCTTAAAAATTGAAGCACGTATCTCCTTAAATAGTAGACCGTGTTTTAATAGATAACGAAAAAAAAAAGACTTATGTATGTTCGTGTTGGTGTGTGTAGGCCTATAATGTACCACACAAGTTCTACTAGTACTTCTTCTATGAGTGTACATGCATCTGTTGCGCAGTTTTATGTTAGTATGTTTACGATTATATATGTATTTATGTATGAATACTTTTATGAATAATGATAATAATGATATGTTGTTTAATTATATATCATTGGTCGTATATTTGTAAAGGGGTACGTGGAATATAACACACTGTCACCCGGGGCGATGTTATTTGACATATACACACCGACAGCAAGTACTCGCATTTCACCGAGCTCCCCCCCCCCCCCCTTAAGCCGACTACTTTAAGGCGCACCGGTATATCAGCAGGGTCAAATAACATCTCTCGCTATGTATAAGTAACTTACAGTGTCTCACACGGTGGGCACAACATTCAAAATAGGCATAAATCCCAATAAAACAACTTTAACAAAGTTTAATTTTGCAATAAAAGTGACTTGTTTTTTTATTCCCAAGAACACTGTCAAAGTAGCACTTATGGCAGTTAATTGAAATCATGCTTCAACATGTTTGAACTGGCGGCACAGCGACTCCAGAATATCCCTCCCTGCCTCCTGGTTGTCATGGTAACGGCTGATCCATTGGTGAAGAAGTAGGTTGTAGTACCTAGGAGACATCATTTAACGACATTAACGAGAGTCGAAAATAAATAAATAAATAAATAAATAAATAAATATAAAAAGCAGTCCGTTGTTGGTAGGCCTGCAGCCTGTAATTTAAAAAGTTTGGGGAGGGAAGTCTTTTTCTAAAAAAGTGGACCTTTCACCAACAACCTACGTGTACCTAGATAAATGTTTACCCAGAGGGAACCTTAACCCGGGAAAAGGGGCGGTTCATTCGACCCCCCCCCCCCCCCCACCCCCAAACAACCCTGGCTACGGGTCTGGTATTCCTACAATGATATTTTATTGAATACTTGTGTCTCTCCACTTTTTACGGAATCAGTGCATCACTTTTAGTGTTATTTTGATGTAAGATTATATATAAAGTAAATCCGTTTGAGAAAATCGTTTTAATAAAAAAAATACATATTATTGACGTTGAAGACTAATCTATTTTTAAAATTCTGATTTAAAAAAGTCGATGAATAAAACTTTCTTGACCTTGGTTGTTCAAAGAATCGTAGGTATTTCCCGGTATCTGGACCAGGAAATATTCTCTCAAACTGTCCTTTTCTGTTGTCTTCGTCTATTGTTTCTATCAGCATCCGCACGTCATCTGCTGACAGGTTGTCTAATATGGTTTGTTGTTGGGTCTTGTTAATATAAAGAAAAACCTTTCTTTCACTAGTTTAAAAAGCACAGATGAGTGCATAGTCTTTTTACCCAAATTGTTGATCAACTATCGAGACATACTGATATAAAGGTGTCCCTTTTCAGGGTACGGCGAGAATTTGGGAAGGTGGACAAGAGCAACCGTATTAGGAGTTCAAAAGGGTTACAGTGAGGTATGTCAATTATGTCCATTATAATTACAATAATAATAGTTGTTATAGTTTATAACACTATTTTATAAACGAGTATCATCGCCGAATTAAAATCTCAATTTCTTCACAACCCCCCCCCGAACTCTACCCACCTCACTAAGATTATGCGTGTAGTATTCATGCTTCTCCTGGGCCTCCGCGGACAGTGTCTGCACCCACAGCCTGTGGTCCATAGTAAGGTGTTTAGGAACGCTTGACTTTCTGAAATATAACCACTTACATGTGCTTCAAATGTGCGTTTGTGCAAATATCGACGGGTAAAGTGCAATTGTTTCTTGTAGATGTAACATGAATAGGCAAAGGAAACGATTGGCTGTTAGAGGGTAGAACTTTACAAATTAAACATGACTGTTTAGATTTTAAATCGGGTGTTTACAAAGATTTATGTACGAGCTAGAGCGACAAGTCTACCTTTCCGGTCCCAACTGCGATCGAAACTCCGTGCTCCCAACAAAGGGAACCTGTATACCAGCAAGGTTCAGCACATCCTTTAACAACGGTACGTGTACCTTGGTGAAGTTACGGCCCATACTGAAAGTTGATATGATAGCAATTGACTGCCGTCTGAGGCCTATCAGAGAATGAACAATGCCAACATCAAGCACTGGAATTGTTTTAATGGTCATTTCACAATACTAGGCGCTAATAAATTGATCAATAAAAACATTAACCTTCCAGAGGCGCCCCCTTAAATTGACAAGCCAGGCACTTCGCTAATAGAAGAAAAAAGATCGCAGTCAGCATCTGGTTAATTAAAGCATAGCATTGCATTATCACACTTACACATGATTAATCAAATGTAATTACTGAAGAACGTGCTCAAAATATGGTAAATATTATGATCAATAGTCATAGCTATAAGATATTCTATAGGAGATGCTTATTTTGTAAAAAAAAAAAAAAAAAA